CAGTAATAATTTACAGAGGAAACTAAACATAAATGCAGGGCCAGAAACTTAAAGCAGGAGACAAGGGCCCGTAACTGACTTTACTTAATAACTTAAGGCAAAACAAAAGTTAAACAAACATACTGTAAACACAGTAAAAGACACATGCAACAAGACAAAGCATCCTGAGCGGGCATAAAGCGAGTAGGCTAGTGGAAAAAGCGAAGCCAGGGAAACTGAGGCAAGAGGCCTGTAACACGGCAACTAGCACAACCTAGCTGGCTTAGTTAATAACTCAAGTACAATAAGCCCGGGTTTTATAAGTTAAAGAATTATGCACGTGGGTAGTAGCTGGACCTTAAACCCACATTAAACGTAGCGTGTAACACAAACACCAATAGTCAAAATTGTGCAATATAATGGATTAACTTAACGACCGTTGCCGAATGTTGAACTGCAAAATCCTGCCATCAGCGGCTGGAACATCGGAGCTGGGCACCTGCAGCTGGACATCGACAGCTGGAGCATCAACATCTGATAAAGGGAGGAAAATAGGGCAACTGGCCACCAGGGAAGACCTTAGTGGTAAGTAGAGGGCCAGCTGCAAGACAATTTAGGCTAAAGACTGGAATATAACTGTCCTAGAAAATAACGGGAACAATTCATGAAGCTGGGAAAGCGAGAATTACAAAACTGAAAAGAGTGATAAATTGATGGGCGCAACGTCGGGTGGGACGCTTCAGCTGGAGCTTCATGACTGAAGCATCGGCTGCCGGGAAGCCTAACATGGAACTGGGGCGTTAGCAGCTGTAACATCGTCTGCTGAAACTAGCCGAGACTGTGAGGGCGCCCACTGCAACAGCTACGGCCGAGCCACCAGCTGGCCCATCCTCTGCAGGAACAACACCGGCTGGGACGACGTCGTTGGAAAAGCCTAACAATGTAATAAATTATATTATATGAATAATCGTAAATAAATGGTGTAAATAATAAAATTATAAACCAATTATAACTATAATTAATTATAAATAATTATAAATTGCAAAACAAAGTATGCTCAAAATAAAGCTGGACTATAATTCGTTAGAGAAACGGGATTAACACTTGTAAGTTTCCACAGTCGGTGGCTGTGGAAACGTTCCGGGCTACACCGGCAGATGAAACGTCTGGATAAACCAGCGGCCTGGGGGGGGGCCCACTGTGACTTCCGGGCTACACCGGGCAGACAACACGTCTGGATAAACCAGCGGCCTGGAAGGCTGCATATTTATATGGCCAATGTAAATAAGATACCTGAATAACATCGCCGGCTTAACTCATCACAGGAAGAACGTCGGCTGGACATGAACCCCCGAGCGCAGACAGCGAAGACGGCAGCGGCTGTCAACCTTCCTGGCTACGTTGGGCAGACTAAACGTCTGAATAAACCAGCGGCCTGGGAAGCAGCAGTATCTTCCGGGCTACACCGAGCAGACAATACGTCTGATAACCAGCGGCCTGGGAGGCCGCAGTATATTCCGGGCTACACCGAGCAGACAATACGTCTGATAACCAGCGTCCTGGGAGGCCACACATGTCTGGATAAGCCAGCAGCCGGGAGGCTGCAGATTCTTCTGGGCTACACCGGGCAGACAAAACGACTGGAAAACGTTTACTGGTACTGGTAAACGAAACTGGTACTATCTAGCGTCAGTACTTAATAACTTTATGACAAAGTCAAGGAAACAAGTATAAAGGTAAAACAGTAAGTAAAATGACATGCACTTAGGCAATGCATAATTAGTAATAAATTGCTGATGGAACTAATCATAATACGAGTCCAAGATAAACTTAAAGGGAGAGGCATGAGGCCCGAAGACAACGTCTAGGACATCCTAGCTGACTTTACTTAAAGGTGAAGCATAAGTTAAACAAACAATTGTAAACCAGTAAAGTAAAAACATGCAGCAAGGGCGATGTAAAATGCAGGAAATTTGCTGAGGAAACTAAACATAAATGCAGGGCCAGAATAAACTTAAAGCAAGAGGCAAGGGCCCGATCCCGACAACTATCACATCCTAGCTGACTTTACATAATAACTTAAAGGCAATAGCAAAAGTTAAACAAACATAAATGTAAAACCAGCTAAAGAAAACATGCAGCTTGACACTGCATAAACGTTATGTAAGAGCAGCTTGACACTGCATAAACGTTATGTAAGAGCAGCTTGACATGCAGCTTGACACTGCATAAACGTTATGTAAGAGCAGCTGCTGGCTTGGGAAGGGGCCCACGCCGTCTCCGTCCCGGTTTATATAACCTCGGGTCAATGCGCGCGCAGCTTGGGGCGGTTAAAGTCAGCTTCCAGACATACGTTTTCTTCCACTCAGAAAACCCACCGTTTTTGGGAAACAGTGTTCTTATTTATTTATTTATTTATTTATTTATTGATATACAAGAAGGTACACTGGGTTTGTGAGAATACATAACATAGTATTTACAGTCTTGTAAAGCCACTAGTACGCGCAGCGTTTCGGGCAGGTCCTTACTCTAACAGATAATTTTAAGTAGGTAAATTCTAGCAGAATTAATAAAATGATAACAAATACATTGCAAGAAAAAAATGAGATGAGAGAGATTAGTAAGTGGAAATAAATGTATGTGGTAAGCTATAGCAACGGACAACTATTGCATATTTACCTGAATTTATCTAAGGGTCACCATTTCTCTAGTGACCAAAACGCGGACAGGAAACCGGCGGCTAGTCAAAGCGAAATCTACACAAGTAATTCCATCAATCATTATACTATCGTGCAAGAAAGACACACATCTATGGATCACCCTAAAAATGATCAGACTCCCAGATGTTACTACTGCTCGGTTTGGACTCAGTTATAAGTCTCTCTGGGAATGTGTATTACCTGCTGATGTTGACCTGACCAAATGTGAACTGCGCCACCAAAATTACTCGCACGCCTCCACAACTATGCGATGGAATGCGAAAAAAACGCATGAATTTAAAGACAGCTCTATAACAAATGCTTAAGAAATGTGTAAATATTTAATTTAAGGTGTTCTGTTACCAAGAATTTTAGCCAAATATCCCAAGTTAACTATCTGAAGGTAATAAATGGGGTGATTCTTTCCAGCGCTGCCCACTGCATAGGAGGCGGCGTACTGGGTAAACATATCAAATTATGAAACTACCTCGCCATGTATTTATACTGCTTAGCTTAGAAATTGTACCTGTGATCGTTCTCGATCCCGTTCTTGGTATAACAATATACACTGATCTGTGTAACAAGCTTATTAAGACTAACTTGTTTAGCTAAATTATTTTTGGCGCTCAATCCCTGAGCCTATTATGTGCCTCTGTAACCTTTTTCACTCTCCCCCCCCCCCCCACAGACTGGGTATGAGGTACATAATAAATAAACTAAACTAAAAGAAAAATCCTTAAATCGTTTGACTCTACCTTGGGTTCAGTTGGGTTTTCTGCAGTTTCCACTTGCCGTGCAACTTTCAATGACAGGGATACTGACTCCAAGGTCCTTTTCTTCATTAATCTGCTGCAAGGTGATGTTGATTTGATAGTTGTGCTGTGCGCTGTTAAGTGCACGTAACAACTATCAAATGTGCATATGAAAGGTCTTGCATTTTCGATAGTGAAAAGCATTTGCCAGTTTTCCGGCCATTTGTGGAGTTCGTGTAAGACCTGGGAATCGTTTTCACACGGCGACTTAGAATTATTCGCTTTAAACTTTAGGACGGTTTAAGACAAGAGCAAACACGGGAGCAAACACTTGTCCCTCACAATATTTCCTTGCCCTGCCATTGTCTCTTTAATCTTAGATAGGATCGTTATTATTTGTAAGGTGACCACTTAGGGCAGAAACACCAGCTCTTCCTCTGGTGACCTGACCTCGTGAACGCCCCCATGTCTGCTTCTCCACAGGGATAATGATAAGGTACTAGGCAAAAAGTAGTCAGTAAAAAATGAGTTTGAGTCACGGCAGAGATCTGTGTTTGAACTTGTGTCTGGACAAAGCTCTTTGGTTGGGCTTCAGACTTATTGAGGTTGAACTTGAGTATTGGCAGAACTCTATGGTTGTGCTTGGAATACGTCCGGAGGCTCTACCTGAGGTAACCCAGAGGGCACTTATTTAGGTGACAGACAACTCTACCTGATTAGACAAGTTTGTTTGCCTGAGAAAAGCCACGCTCAGCACTTCCTGAGAATATCCACGTTTCTCTACCTGAGACAGACCACGCTGCTCTTCCTGAGATAAGCCTCGCTGACTAGACCACACACTAGAAGGTGAAGGGACGACGACGTTTCGGTCCGTCCTGGACCATTCTCAAGTCGATTGAGAATGGTCGCTGCTCTACTGGAGCTTGAGTACAGACGGCTTTACCTGTCATAAGCCAGATGGTACAACTCGGCTTTTACTTGGACAAGCCAACTGTGGCTAACCATGTGACTATACAGTGCTTGAACACATGAGGGCCGGGCATATCATGAGAGAGAAGACGTGGGCGCGGCCGTCCTGGTCTGCTTCGACACGTCCGTTCAGGTTGATGGTGACACCTTCACGCCGCCCACACACCCACGTCGCAAGCGCCTCACTGGAGCATCACGCGATTTTCGACGTTACGCGGTTGGCAGGGAGGGTCGCCCACTTGGCCCGTGGCGCTCATTGCTGGGGAGGGTGACGCTGGTCCCGACAGAGGGCACCGCTGATGCGGGTCTTCACTCCCGGCGATATTTTGGTGCCGCACCTGAGACACCGCCGCAGCCGCCGCCGTCGTGTCCTCCTGCCGTCAAACACCACTCTCAGGTGGGTGCTGCGCCGCGGCTTCTTCCCTCCAGGATCTACACAGCTCTCGGGGAAAATAAGTGCTTCCTCTGGCAGTGCCATCATCGCCCGGTGGGGAATACAGGTGGTGGTGGCGAACAGGTTGCCGAAAATAAGTGTGGTGAGGTGCGAGTGTGGACAGGGTGCCAGGAGTGCCACAGACGCTGGCCCTTACAGCTGCTGCGCCTCCACTCAACCAGCTCCTGTTGTGGCTCTGATCAAGTGGTGTTGTTTTTGGTTTTTAGATAACTGATGGTGATTTTTTGCGCCGTGAGGGTTCGCTATATTGATTTTACTGGGAGAGTGACTGATCTGGGAAAGTGAAGGTGCCGAGGCAGGCGCTGGAGGGGTTCAGGTCTCGCCCCCGCCCACACCTTCTGCACGTCAACCCGTCCACTGCTACACACTCGCTGCTTCCTCTTGCCTGCCACTACCCCACTTGCCTCAAACAGCAAAATATTCCAGCCCTCGTCAGTAGTTATGATGCTGAATTTCTAGAGTACCGTTGTGTCTGTGTCAACATCATCCTTCCTCGTCGCCCAGTCCCTGGCGGCGGGCACCACAGGTATCCTCGTGCCCCACACACCACACCACACTCCATACTTCCTCGCCATTACTTAAAGGTAAAAAAACAATAACGTCTTCGTTGCTTCCTGGTAAGAAAGGTAGCGGTTTTTGTGTGTCATTATTTTAGGTCGCAGGAGCTGTGTTTGTGGTCAATCGCTCTTTTCACCTTATAATATTGTAGAGTAGTAGTAGGCACTAGAAATTCCCAGTAAATTTGGTACATACTGCCGCCTCATGTAGCCCCATTCGTCATGCTCTCTATCGTAGACCGTTCATACTGCTTCATTTAGCAGTGTTCATCAATTTACTTCTACTACCCTTAGAGAATTCATTTGCAAATATTTTGACACCAAATTTATAGTTATAACCGAAACGAATCTTAGAAAATTTAAAATTAGGTTGAGAATCAGCACATTAGACAACCGTTGGCTAGAAAAGCTTGGTACAAGAGCTAACAGCTTGACCCTGCTGCCACAAATAGTAAACAGAAATAGTACACACACACACACACACACGGGCGCCGGTGGCCGAGCGGATAGTACGCTGTACACGTGATCCTGTGATCACGGGTTCGATCTCGGGCGCCGGCGAGAAAAGATGGGCAGAGTTTCTTTCACCCTATGCCCCTGTTACCTAGCAGTAAATAGGTACCTGGGAGTTAGTCAGCTGTCACGGGCTGTTTCCTTGTGTGTGTGTGTGTGTGTGTGTGTGTGTGTGTGTGTGTGTGTGTGTGTGTGTGTGTGTGTGTGGTGTGGAAAAAAAGTAATAGTAGAAACAGTTGATTGACAGTTGAGAGGCGAGCCGAAAGAGCAGAGTTCAACCCCCGCAAGCACAACTAGGTGAACACATATACACACACACACACACACACACAGGGCGAATTGCCTAGCTGACAAAAGAAGGCAAATGTGGCTCCAGTTTACACAAAAAAGAGGATACAGAAGGGAAAGAACTTCTCTTCCATTCAGTCATCAGACGAAAACGCCAAGCCATTACAACTATATAACTCTTGGAAGGGATCAGGATATATGGATGTGGGATGGGACGGGGGTAAGGAATGGTGCCCAACCACTTGGACGGTCGGAGATTGATCGTCAGGGTCATCCTCCAGTTAATGTCACTGACGAGGAGCCCCTGCAAAGCACTCGAAAGAATAATAAGAGTAGTTACACATTTAGAGAGAATTCTGACTGTAAACAAACATCAACAAAGCTTTAGGGATGGGAAATCGCGCCTGACGAGGCTACTGGAGTTTTATGATAGTCACAAAAATAAAGCAGGACAGAGACGGTTGGGCAGATTCAATATTTCTGGACTGCCAAAAAGCTTTTCATACAGTACCTCATAAAAAATTACTACACAAACTCGAGGGGCAGGACGGAGTAGGTAGAAAATCCACTAACATGGTATCGGTGATTTCCTGGTTCAGACAGCGACTAATTCACACAGAGCGTCAGTAGCTGGCGCCAGGATTATGTGCATACTTTGTGCAACTGAACTCCCGGCGTGCGCATTGTGCTGAACCAAGCCGGACTCAGCTCCTGGTAATCCTACAGTCCGCATGCCTGACTCTCGGCTAGTGTACACACTCCCATGCCATGCTCTGGGCACATATAGTCCCATACCACAATCTGGGCACATTCAGTCCCCATACCTCAGTCTGGATACATTCAGTCCCATGCCACACTCTGGGCACATTCAGTCCCATATCACACTCTGGGCACATTCAATCCCATACCACAGTCTGGGCACATTCAGTCCCATACCACAGTCTGGGCACATTCAGTCCCATACCACAGTCTGGGCACATTCAGTCCCATACCACAGTCTGGGTACATTCAGTCCCATACCTCAGTCTGGGCACATTCAGTCCCATGCCACACTGGGCACATTCAGTCCCATACCTCAGTCTGGGCACATTCAGTCCCCATGCCACAGTCTGGGCACATTCAGTCCCCATGCCACAGTCTGGGCACATATAGTCCCATACCTCAGTCTGGGTACATTCAGTCCCATACCTCAGTCTGGGCACATTCAGTCCCATGCCTCACTCTGGGCACATTCAGTCCCATGCCACACTCTGGGCACATTCAGTCCCATGCCACACTCTGGGCACATTCAGTCCCATACCTCAGTCTGGGCACATTCAGTCCCATACCTCAGTCTGGGCACATTCAGTCCCATGCCACACTCTGGGCACATTCAGTCCCATACCTCAGTCTGGGCACATTCAGTCCCGATGCCACAGTCTGGGCACATTCAGCCACTTCACAGTAAGAGCTGGGGAGTGTCCACACTTCCCCAGCAGGGAAGAGATCGTTCCAACACCCGCAAGTGTGTCTATCCAGGTAAATCTTCCATTCACCGCGGATCGTATTTGTACCCTCTACGGTCTCATCATGCCAGTGGGTTCTTAGATGGGAGGTTATACACAGTGGGGGAGACCCGTCTCCTGTGCTTGTGAGAGTCTGGCTTCCTCTCCAGACCATCTGAGCCAACAAGGTGTCACCGTGGGTCAACATTATCGCCGTTCGTGTTTGTTTTCATATACTACCAAAACCTGGGTTCATGTTCCCATCACCCTGGCGTCAACGGGAGTCAGGTTCCCATCACCTTAGCATCAACAGGAGTCAGGTTCCCATCACCTAGAGGTAAACAGGAGTCTGGTTCCCATCACCCTGGTGTAAACAGGAGTCTGGTTCTCACGCCCCCTCGCGAAAACTGGAGTCGTAATTCACCTCTTGTGTCGGATGTGCATCAAGTGTAGTCGTTATAGGAAACAGCAGAGTTAATTAAGACAGATATCATTGTAGTGGTTCAAATTAGTTCCAATTAGGAGAACAAATATGAGAGACGGTGTCTAATGTGAGCCTGTGTTGGCTGTCATGTCTGGCCCTGACGACCACAACACTCTCAGCTGGGGAGGTAAAAACCCTTCATTGAGGGAGTGTCCACACCTAGGGGTAGGCAGTGTTGCAGGTGGGCTGGCACTGTGGTGGCACCCAGCCAAGGCTGCCAGGGCCTCTGTGATGGCTGGGAACACGTGTCCTCCTCACCCCTTCCACTCACCCATCCCCTCCACCCACCATCTCTTTTCTACCAGGACAAGTCCATACCTAACACCAGTACTGGGTGTCGTCCTAAATCCTCACCCTCTTCTTCTTCTCCCCTCTCTCTCTCTCTCTCTCTCTCTCTCTCTCTCTCTCTCTCTCTCTCTCTCTCTCTCTCTCTCTCTCTCTCTCTCTCTCTCTCTCTCTCTCTCTCTCTCACACCCTGCTTGATTAATTGTCTGCGTCTTTGTGTCTCTGTCTGCTTGCTTGACTTTCTGCCTGGCACCCACCTCATCCCGCACCTGATGGTGGGTGTGGGTGGTACACTCTCTTCACCTTTACTTCACTTCTTTCATTACTTTCTCTCTCTCTCTCTCTCTCTCTCTCTCTCTCTCTCTCTCTCTCTCTCTCTCTCTCTCTCTCTCTCTCTCTCTCTCTCTCTCTCTCTCTCTCTCTCTCTCTATATATATATATATATATATATATATATATATATATATATCATTAAATTTTGTGAGGGTACCACCTCTGGTGCCAATGTGGGGACCCATAGCCTCGGAGAAGAAAATAAAAAGTATTCAGAGGAGACCTTGTGGTTTCTCACTGAACACTAATATTATCTTCTCCTACCACCCCCATTCTTTTGTATGTACACATATATATTTACTTTATTTGAACTTTCTTACAAATATATATATATATATATATATATATATATATATATATATATATATATATATATATATATATATATATATATATATATATATATATATATATATATATATATATATATATATATATATATATATATATATATATATATATATATATATATATAATATATATATATATATATATATATATATATATATATATATATATATATATATATATATATATATATATATATATATATATATATTATAATATTTACTGTATTGGGCCTAAGATAGCGTACATTAGACCTAGAATTGCTTTGACAGGTTAAGTATTTTTGTCATTTTCCATTTTTTTAGAACGTTATTTGGGCTAATTTATTAATACAAAACTTCAACTTTTTATGGTACAACACCACATTTTTGTACCCATGACCGTATAATTGCTCAAGTACTAACATTTTAGTATGATAGGCAGATTTATTTTTTAATGCACAAAATTTTCCTTGTGAAATTTTAGCCTATCCCCACTACGTACTGTGATTAACTTGTTCAGAAACTACAATGTTATTTCGCTGTCAAATGGTTCGCACTGTATCCATTCATCACGCAAATAGTCCTGTTTTAGAACTATTATCCTTGGCGGTCGTTGTACATGGTACAACACATTTTCGGCAAGCTGGCGTCTGGCCGGCTTTGATGGTGTCCATTACTGGCTGCTTAGTGTTGACAGCCGGTGAGATACAAACTTATTTTGGGGACACATTATCTTTAGGAGGTAACCACGTTCATAAGGGGCAACAGTAATATAAGGGTCACTTCGTATGACTGTGTTAACGTATTGTAAATATTGGTGGTATACCATTTGTAATATGTTTCCCCTTAATCATCATAGTGGTATACGCGTATCCTGATCCAGTTTATGTATCCTGTTACAGTTTATGTATCCTGTTACACTTTATGTATCCTGTTACAGTTTATGTATCCTGTTACAGTTTATGTATCCTGTTATGTTATGTATCCTCTTACAAATTCTATTCTTCCCACATCACATTACAGTAACAATACCGAGAATGCAACGCATCATGAAAAGCCTATTCTTTAAAAGAATTCAAATTTTCCACTTTCTGAGTATCTATGATGTGTTTTGTTAAATTATTTTGTTAGAAATGCTGGAAAATTAAATCTTCAGTTTATATATCCATAAAATTAGGATAAGTATATAGTCGCTGGATAGCTTGGGAGATACATTTTTTGTATCTGCCAAGATACAGATATGTAAAAGTCCTTATTTTGCAAAGGGAAATGGTGGCAAAACGTAATGTATGTAAATGTGATTTCAACACACGTTCTCAGAAATTTTTTAGAAGGAATGTCGAGTTCTGTAGGAAAATTCCTCATGGAATTTGAAAAAAAAAGTCTGAAACACTTTTGCTGGCTAAAACTCGAATTTAATATGCAGGTTTTTTTCTGGTTTGGCAGAAGTTTGGATGAGCATTTTGGGTTCCCAGTTTGGGTAGCCAGTTGTCATGGCCGGTTTAGGTGACCCGTTTGGGCGACCAGTTTAGATATTGTTATGCCTGAACTTAAGAGGTATCCAGTGATCACCCAAACTGTTTTGAAATATATATATTCTTCCAACAGAGCATTATTCTTTGTTATATTGGTTGAGAGTATTTGACAATTGTCGTGTTGCTCATTCACCTTTGTTTGATGTCCATTCATTTGAGGTTTGATTTCCATTCATCTGTGACTTAGTATGGCTGATGTTCATTCATCTGCAGTTTGATGTCCATTCATCTGTGGAAAATATCCATTCATCTGTTGGTTGATGTCCATTCATTGGTGGCTTGATGTCCAGTCATTTGTGGTTTGATGTCCATTGATCTCTCCACTCATTTGTGTATTGCCTTATTGTCCAATCATTTTTGGTTTGGTGTCTATTTCACTATGGTTTTATGCCCGTTCAACTGTGGCTTGGAGTCCATTCAACTTTGTGTGCACTAGTTATAAACGACAGTGATATATTTATGTGATTAAAGGTCAAGTAATATATTTATGTGGTCAAATTTGTCACCTTAAAGTTCAACTCGCCAAGTCTCTGAATCTAAGTTGAATAAAGAGAGGGGAGACTATAGTTGACAGGCAGAGTCCCCCCTTCTGCCCTGGGGAGGCCAGTCTCGTGGCTGGAGCCTCGATCTACTCGCTCCGGCTCGATCTCCAATACTCTGTGTCTCATCTCTTGAATGTACAGTTCCCTGGGTATTTATGGGGAAACCGGGAGTTAAGCTCCATCTACCAGTAAGATAGCCTCAGGCTCTCTACCTACCACGCCTAAACAGCAACTTGTTTGATGGAAAAACGCCACGAACCGTCTACAATTATCAGCTTATCAGAAAGCAAGGTCACTTCACACGACCTGACCCCTGGTCAACTTACGGTCATTAACTGCTATAGGTGTGACTTCTTAATTACTAAAGACAGACAGTCGGGCGCCTCAAATATCATATATAACTGACTCTCGTATGTAAAATAAAACTAAACACCTTTATGGTGTTAGAGAAGGTTCCCATGGGAGCTCGGTAGGGACTGGAGTGTGTTTTACAGGGCTTAAGTCAATAGTCTCTGGGTCCTCCACCCGGACATTGTGGCTTAGAGGGCCACCTCTCTCGGATCAGGGGTGACGTCACTATTGTTTACTGGCGCCTGAGATAGGACTTGGCACCGGGGTTAGGGCACCTCTCCTCGTGGCATCTCTGGCACCACTCTCACCAAGTTTGATCTTAGATTGCAAAAATGACAAGAACCTTAAAAATAGCGAAAAATATAATGCGCATATATAATAATAATAATGTCATCATGCTAAATCCTCATCGTCACAAAATTGTAAAATATTGTGTTGATCAGCTATAGTCATGGTCAGGTATATCTTACCTAAGGTAATATTTTGAACAAATTTGAGCCTCTCTTAATAATGGACGATACTCGCGCGAAGCCTAATGTCATGATGATCGCTTCAGTAATGCCGGAGTGAAAAGAATTGGAAACAAAAACAAAGCAATATCCTAGCCTCTCTTTTCGACCAATCAGCTGCCTATTCTCTCGACGAATCAATTCCAACTGAATTTGGGCAATAATTAACTAGGTCTGGAATCTGGAGCGAAAAAATCGGGTTGAATTTTATTAAATTACTTTTTCAGGTGTCGCATGGAACCTATTTATATTTTAATAGTAATAAATACTTCTAGCTCTGAATTTTAGGACTGAATTATAGAGTAATAATAATATTCTATTATTACTCTAATAATAATAATAATGATACTAATGCCATCAAATAGTAATAATAATAGTCATGTAATAAAAGTAGTATTAATAATAGTATTTGTATTCTTTACAAAATAAGTACAAATCGTTCACTAAATTAAAAACAAACCACTCCTCAGAAGCGAGAGATGTGACTTGAAGAAACTGTCATCCATTAGAATTTTTAAAATAAAATTGTGTTTTTGTATCACACACACACTTGTGTTGATTTGAGAGGCGGGACTAAAGAGACTAAAGAGCCAAAGCTTAACCCACGCAAGCACAACTAGATGAGTACAACTAGGTGAATGCACACAAAAGGCATACAGCACCTCTTAACTTCCCTGAGTACAATGGCTAGGAGTTCCCAGAGTACAAGTGCCACCAGTACTCTTAGAAACCTAATCTCGGAGCGAGTCAGCTGATAGAGGTGAAGGGAGGGCCAGAGAGCCTCCTCGACATCCTAAACACAGCCAATGAACGCTCAATATCCTCTGTAATTCCACAGCCATTAACCACTTGTTTCAGACGTAAGCAATGTAACCTATGTCCTCCTTGTCTGCCCCGAGAAGGTAGGCGACATGCGAGCAATTCACGCGGAAGTGATTTATTATATCTACCTATCGACTTCGGCTTTTATTTTTAATCGTACATGTATAAATAGTTGTAGTTGGATCTTTTGGTTCCTGCCCGAAACGCTGCGCGTACTAGTGGCTTTACAAGAATGTAATTACTGTACTATCCAATGTATTCTCACAAACCCAATGTACCTTCTTGTATATATATAAATAAAATAAAATAATAAAATAAATAAAATAAATAAAAATAAATTTATGTACAACCAATTTGCCAATTTACAGTTTTGTTTATGATCAGTTCTTCTTTACTACTTTAGGTCTACTCATTATATCTCAACTTTGAACGAGGCTTATTTTTCTAGTATGATAAATTTTGTAGACGAATTGTGTTGGTACGTTGACCAAAAGTCAACGCTTTTGGTCAACGTGACAGCTGTTGGTATAAGACCAAAAATCACAATATATATTTATTGAAAGAATGATGGTTCAGTTATGGTATGGGAAAAGTTGGTCATCATAGTTGGAATATCGCCGCAGTGTGGAGGCCACTGACACTGTCTGGTGGTGTTGGGACTCTGGGGCGGGGAGGGTTGAGTAAGATGGGCAGAGTACGATCACTGCAGACCAGGCTGAGTGGCACTGATGTGGGAGTTTGGCACTCCCCTGCTGGCATCTCCTGTGCCAGGTGAGTACGACGGGCTCACCGTAGCCCGTGCTGTTTGGAACTTTTGGTTCCGAGAAGCTGAATCTAAAACAACAACAACGACGGCATAGTGAATGTTGGTAGGGAAGGGTGGGAGGAGAATCTTGCTTAGTGCCTCCAACTTCACGTATTCTGTGAAGAGCTTTGCTGCGCCTCGGTGAGTGGGTACATATATATGTGAGTGTGTGTGTGTGTATTTGTACTCGCCTATCTGTGCTCACCGGTCTGTGTACTCAACTATATGTGCTTGCTGATAGAGATTTAGCTCATGAACCCCGCCTGGTTGTCCAACGTGATGACTCCCGACTTATTTTCCCCTATCAGTTCTACTTTTGAAATTATGAATGGATTTGGCAACTGCAATCTGCTCGCTTAGTTCTAAAATTTCCTTTACCTACTACTCTTTCACTAAAATTAATCATAACATCTGAGCGTCGCTTAGAAAATAAAACCATACGTAAGCGTGACAAAGTACAGAACCATATTTAAGCGAGCACAGGAGCGGAGCGAGTAGCACGGGCTATGGTGAGCCCATAGTGAACTTATCTGGCACAGGAGTGGTGCCTGTATAGACGGGTCTAGCCTAAACATATATACCAGGCTTCTGATCCTCTGCAGGTGACTGGCCTTCTGCCTGGTAATACTTCTATTACATTCCTCTCAATAACCAAATTACAAACAACAATTCTCTTGGCAATTTATAAATCAAGTATTTCAAAAACAGAACTTTATTCAAATTTCTTTCGTTCTTTGAAATATTTAATACTAAGTCAACGTGTCTTGTCTTCAGATACGGTGAGCGCGTCAGGCCCTCAACCCAAGGAGTTCTTCCACCACCAGTGGTCAGGGGGTGGGCGGGGGCAGCGATTATGGGGGGTGGGGCTAGTGGAGGCCACGCCCACCTGCAGGTAGGCGCGGAGGAACCCCCCACGCCCACTCACGCCCACAGAATGCACGACAATAAAGTATAGGTGAACCGTGCAAGAGATCTTCCAGCTGATTAGCGGTAAGCAGGAGGAGGAGGAGTGGGTGTTGCTGGTAATGACCAGTGGTTGGTAGTGTTGTTGACACAGTCTTATTGGTGTAGAGTGTATTGGTGTGTAGTGTATTGGTGTAGAGTGTATTGGTGTGTGGTGTATTGGTGTGTAGTATATTGATGTGTGTAGTGTGTTGGTGTATGTAGTGTATTGATGTGTGTAATGAATTGATGTAGAGAGTATTGGTGTGTGTAGTGTATTGGTGTGTGTAGTGTATTGATGTAGAGTGTATTGGTGTATGTAGTGTATTGATGTGTGTAATGTACCCTTTGGTCCGTGGTAGATATCAGGGTTTTGTCTTTTCTAGCATGTTGCTAGTGTCATATTATGTTCACTCCCTTACTTCCCCGATCCTTTCACGTGTGCAATTTAACCCAAAACTTTACCCCTTGTATTCATTCTTTACCTAAAGATGTTCCAGAGAGGAGTGAAACGCTGTAGTGTAGCAAATAGATGCTTCAATAATTACTAGAATTTCCTTACCGCGAATGTTGGTAACGAGTACTCTTCTTATTAATTAATAATGATACTAAGAAAATATTAGAAGCATAGACAGCTGTCTTAGACAGCTATAAGAACGTGTGATCATATTTTTGTGCTCATTTTTAACCAAATCTGTTTAATGGAGCACCTGCTGGCCAAGTATCCAAAAAATAATTTATATATATATATATATATATATATATATATATATATATATATATATATATATATATATATATATATATATATATATATATATTCTTGATTTTATATATAATGAAAATATTGATAATGTCTCATATAGAAAGCATAAGGTGAAGGAACGCCAGGAAAACGATACCTAAATTAATTCAACGTTCCATCCATGTGACTATGGAGCTCTTGAAGATACAAGTGTTGAATAAATTGAGGTTCATTGTGTTGTCTTCATAATTTGTTCACATATATATTTAAATCTTTAATAGCAATACGGTTGTTTCCAGATGTCTTCTGAACGGAAGTCAGCACGGAGTGGTGTGCGGGAGGGGGCAGGCAACTCTGTGCCCCAGCATTACCCTGCACATTTCTACCCAATGGTGGGCTACCAGGGGCCCCCACAGCCATGGTTCCCCGCTTCTGGAACCCCCAACCCGTGGTCCTGGAACCCCCCCATAGGCTACCCGGCGCCCACCCCGGCCTGGTCCACCCACCAGCCTGCCTCCACCATGACTACAACCAACAGCACGGCGGCTGTTCCCTCCGACGAGTACACCGTCGACACCTTGAGACGGATTTACAACGACGACGACGGGCGAGTAGAGATCCAGAGAGTAAAGGTCCAGCGACGCCACCCGGAGACAGGAACCATCACTTTCCCTACGGGTCCTGAAGCTATGAGTGTGGTCCCCGTCGGCAGTTTCGCTCTCAATGAACGACGACCACCGCCAAGAAAAAACCGACGGAAACAGCAGATGGAAGTCATGGCAGTAACACCCGGACAGCCGGGACCCTACCCATGGTACCCGTACATGCCTTGCGTGCCCTACCCGTACCCATATCCGTATTATATGAGCGGGTGTATGTGGCCTCCGGGTGTGCCTGCCGCGTCGACGACTTCTTGGAGTGGGCATGAGGAGAGTGAAAGAACGTCTTCCCGGCAGGACTCGCTCCCCACCACATTGGACTCTCAACGCCTCGAGTCTCGCATCTCTCACCCGTCCCGGGAATCCATCTCGCCTGTGTCACATCGGTCCCCGTCCCCGGCTGCCGCCTCTCACCTCACAGATATCCACAGCATCGCTCCCTCGGACAGCGTCTCGGTGCGTGGCCACAAAAGAGAAACATCCTTGGAGCGAGCACTAAGGGGGCCCACACCTCCTCCCCGCACCAAGAGTCGAGCGTCCTCAGACTCCAGAGCAAGTGATATCGGGAAGACGCAGGAGTGGATATTAGGGATGCATAACGTACTGGGCGTCCCTGTCGACAGGATCTCAGACGTCACAGACAAATCGTCTTTCATGACTGCTCCTTCAGACATAGTTATTTACAAAAAAATACCTCCCAAGAGAAAACGTCGAAAAGTCAAGATTGAGAGTATAAGTGACAAAGATTCTCTTGCTGATCCGAAAGAACTGGATAATACAAGTGATAGACAAAGTGTTGTGTCTGACATGACGTTTGATGAATCTTCAAGATTAAGTTCAGAATTGACTTATGCGTTCCGGAAATTAGAAAAATCAGTAGACGTTTTCAAGACAAAATTGTCAGTAGATTCTACACCAGTGCACAGCTCTGCCCCTTCTCCATCGATAGACATTATTCATTCCAGTGGTGACGTGACACCAACAGAGGAAGTCATGCATGTGTCGCCTTCTGACATCAACATACTCGTGGAAGAGTCTGATAAACAAGAAGCTAACCAGCATGATACTTCAGCCTCCTTGGAACGTGGATTTTCCCCGGGATCTGTCTGCTCTCTTCCTGCTCTTGAAACTGCTAAGGCAGACTCGACAGTAGATATATCTGCTCTGCGAGCGTTGATGGAAACCCCAGTCATTAAACCTTCACCTCTACCACCTCAGAATCATCAGGACCCTCCTGTTTCTCAGTCCAGTTCTATCACTGCATTTATGCCAGAAACTGGTCCTCCTCCTTCCACGTCGAGTATAAATGCCTCGACGGTACCAACAGCAACAAGCACCACTGAGGTCACTCTTGCTGGTTCTGAACCAGGGAGTGCCACAGTAACCTTGCAGACAACAACAGCACCAACTGATGTAACATCAAACGTTGCACGACCATCAGAGGTCACCCTCTCACCTTCATCCACAACGGAAGTAACCATACAATCTGCATTAAAGTCAGAAGCAACAACTCTGCAGCCTGTGCAGGTCCTGTTATTCACTCAACCTATAACAGTGACATCGCCTTTGCCTAGCCAGCCTTCAGCGGTGTCAGATTCTAGTAGTCCTCCTGTCGCCGTGGCAGAAACAGCTCTACCAGCAGCAACCGCTCCTGCAGCGAAGGGCGAAACAGTCAGCGAAGGTGGACGTGACTCGAGGGCCAGCGGCAGCACTTTCTTCTCGACGCGGCCTTCTGAGGACCCGGTGCTTGTGGACACGGACTCCACAGACATCCTGCTGCCCACCACAGATGCCACCACCGCAGATGAGGTGAGTCTTGTTAACATGTAACTTACCCGTAGGTCCTCCTTGGGGTTAATAACAATTTACTAGACAATATCAATTAACAAGAAACCAGCCTCACTTGGTACAGGTTTGCGTTTTATCCAGACGGTCAAAGAGTTGGGTCGAAGGACTACCCTTCAATCCTATCCCAGCTCCTTGTCCTTATATCCCTTCCATGAGCTATACAGTAGTATTTAAAAATAACTAAAGCTGAGGGCAAAACAACAAGTTGCCTAAGCGGCAGGATTGGTCACTTGACAGCAGCATACATGGAAAAACAGTTCAAAGTGGAAGCTCCTAACAAGGCCCGGAGCGGGAGGGTTGTCACGTCTGCGCATGGGATGAAATTTGGCCTCCAACGAAAGAAGCGAGTTTATTGCAAAGTTAAACACCGTGCTAATATTTATACGTTCATTAAGAATATATATATTAAATACATATGCGTTCTTTAAGAAGACATTTTGGTGTTGCGTTCATCTAGTTAACACTACTACTCGCTTGTTGCTATCATATTGGGGCATCTTGATATTTCGATATGATTAAACTTTGTTGACCAGACCACACAAAAGAAGCTGAAGGGACGACGACGTTTCGGTCCGTCCTGGACCATTCTCAAGTCGATTGTGATGAGGAGGTAGAGACAGGCAATACTAAACTTTGTTATTTAGGATTGTATATAAGAGTTTATATACATATTATTGTTCCATGACTATAGCACAATAACTTGCTTTAAAAGCATGACCTGTGCTCATTAAATTTTGCCTCACTCCAAGGTATATCTTTAGCTACCACCCGATCTATTGTGTAGGGGCTTTTTGGGATAGATCTATGTACCAACTTTTATACATCCCGCGCCACTAACGTAACTCCCCAATATTCTTGAATGCCTGCCTAACATATGGCAGTGGCCCTTCACCAAAGGCCACTGCCTCTAGCACTTGGCATGATCTTCAGGGCGAAGATCACATGGACTCTACAGGAGTGAGTCCTGGACTTGACGACGAAGGGGACTATAAGTGGGTGCTGCAGCAGCCTGGAGAGACGCCGGACCTGGCCTCCACCAATCCAGCACGGGAGGACGAGCGACGCAACGCCTGGCGAGCCGAAGTTAGGTAAGCAAAACAAAAAATCACAAAAAAGTCAAGCGCCTGGCAAGACAAAGTAATTATAAGATAATGAGCGTAGATAGTTGTGCTATTACATACACTGGGAGACACAATGTGCGATTATAACGAGGAAATTAAGTGTATACTAATATTTATTTTGAATAAGTTAAATGGTTGCTTTACACCCATACTTGCTAATCGTTTTTTTCATTATTAATAAATTACTTTAATAAAAGCGCGGAATGTACAGCCAATGTTTTTATTTCTGGACAAGTGAGCGTACACATTATACGCTTGTTAAATCCTGATAACGGGTTACATTTTAACACTGACGGAGTCTGACACAAGGGTTGTCAAGGAGATACTCATATCTAGAGTATTGTAGCTCTAGGAAATTTTCAGTTTAATGTCCAAGACTCACAACGTTGATGTCGAAAATTAATTGATTTTTTGTTTACTTTTAAGGTCCATCATTTTCTTCCAATGTGTTACCACACTGATGTACTTGAATTCCATCTTGATAACCAACTGTTTCCTTGAGTTTTAAAATGTGTCAATTGTTTTTCGTTCAATTCTTGAGACATTAAGCACGTTTTGGCGCTTCAAGGGTTTAGAAAAGTCTTATGAATCTGTGAGTGTTGTTAGACAAAGTAGTTCGGAGGTTTAACATCAATCACTTTACCTTGCTTCTTGTTCTATATCGTGCTTCATGTAATTTATTATGTATCATATTTACACAATTTGGTATATTTCGGTGTGTGGACATTCTATGGTTTGCATTTGCTGTATTTTCATATATTTTCGGTGAATCTGTGACAGCCTGTGGCGCGCGCGGTTGGTGGTGTCGCTGTGTCGAGGACGTGGTCTGGACCGCCAAGACTGGTCCACCTTCCATCTGTTGGTCCACCACCCCCTCACCCTCGACCTGAAGCTCTCCCTCCTGCACGCCCCCCGCCTCTGTGCCGCCAACACCTCGACGGGGGCGGCGCTGGTACGCGTGGCGCTCATCCACCTGGCGCAGTACGGAGAGACGCTGCTACAGCCAGAGGGGTCCAGGCAACATGGCTGGCGATCCGTCAAGGTTGACCCCAACCAACCCTGGGCATCCGTCAAGGTGGGCTTCACGGGACTTGTCACGTTGACAGGATATATTATAAAGGTGTCTCAACACCAGCATATACTCGCATTAGTATATTATTTATTAGTATAAATAATAAATTATTAAATTATTACTCACATTAGTATGTTATTAGTATTAGCTTCATTTCTGCTGTTTTGTTTAAGCTCACAGTACTCTAAAATATGTCATTGCCTATCGGAAGTAAGACATCTTTGTGTCTGTTTTAGAATTCTCTCATCTCATCACTGTTGCTAAGATAGTGGTGGTAAAGTTTAAAGCATAATTGTTATTGATTCCTAATGTGTTAAACAAGTGGCTTTTTTCAGAAAAGCCTAATCTATTTCTAATCTATATCTTTTCATACCATCCATTCTTACTATTCAAATATATACATTAATCTTAGGACAAATACATTGTATTCTTGCTAACGAAACTACGACAGATTTTTCAAGGTCTTGTAGAACTAAATATAAGATTTCAGGCATCTCATTGTTATTTTCCTTTTTTTCAAAACTAAATAATTTATGCCTTATGTCATTATTCATAGAGGAACACTTTTTATAAGTGTACAATTAAATTTAGCTGCTAAATGTTAAGTTGCAATCCCAAGCGAGTTGGTTATTCAAATTAATCACAAAGTTTCGCCTCCTCCTGTGTCTTATCATACTAGCATGCTTATTATACTGTTGTTGACCTGTTGCAGGGTCGGGGAGGCATCTCCCGTCACGCAGGGTGCAGTTGCACCTCCACAGATCTCCAGTATCAGCTCTTGATACTGGTAATGGCTCAAAAGGGCCACCACTTTCGGGCTATTCATGCCCGTGCCACCTTTTGGGTGGCTTAATCTTCATCAATCAATCAATCTGTTGCAGGGTGCCGTGGAGGTACTTCGGGCCCTCGGGTACCAGGAGCGGGAGGACGGCGGAGTGCTGAGGTATCCACGCCGCTCGGGCATCGAAGTATCGGTGCTGGCGCGTCTCACACTCGATATGTTGGTGTTGGCCGAAGAGCTTCGCCTATATCTCACCGGAACCCATCAGTATCCGGTCAACATTGCAGAATTATTCTTCCCTGCGTCATCATCCACGGCCCCGTTTGTTGATATCCCGGTGCGGCCACCTTCGTCAGAGGGCAGTTTTGTATCAGCGCACTCAGAGACGTCTCTCCACCTCAGACCGAGCAGCAGAACGTCATCTGTTACAGACGATGACACAGAGACATTGCAGGCATCTGTCAGACTCATCAAGAATCACACAAAGAAAATCCGGCGTAGTTCCACATCGGAGGAAGAAGTGACCTTAAAAGATGACGTTGAAAATAAAATTCAGATCAAAGTACAGACTTCAGAGACCACGACGAGCGTACAAGAACACTCCAGAGAAGTTCCTCCGGTAATAGCAGAAACGTCATCCGGTAGTACAGAGCCACAAAATCTGGGCTCCACAGTATCCTTGCCCGTGGCTCAGGATTACAGATTATCCACCAGCACAAATATGTCCAGTTTGCCGGACTTACAGTCTATCCATTCGAGCTCTACTTCTCAGAAGAGCCCACGCCAGAGTAGCTCTGCAACATCTGGCAGCACCGAGACTGTCATCACTCCTGTTCCGACTCCAGTACCTGTACCAGAAGCCACCACAGACAACCCAGAGGAACACATATATGAAGAAATCGACGTGATACGAGCGCAAGTCCAGGCTCTCAGAGCTTCCAGTGTCCCCGTGGAAACTCCGCCACCTCCACTTCCCCCGAAAAAGAAAGTTAGTTCGGGGGGTGAGGATGACTCTGGGTTAAGTTTAACATATCCTCAGGTGGAGTGGTCGTCTTCCTCCATGCCCGGCTCGTTGCGTGGTGGGTCGACTGGCGCCAGGAGGAAGAAGCGCCGTGCCCCTATGCCCCCAGAATTTATGCCCACGGATTGGAAAAACTATCAAAACAAATCACCAGATAGTCCCGAGCAGGAAACCGAGGCACAAGAAGCCAAAGAGAGGAAGAACAAAGCAGAGTACCGAAAATCTCTCAATCCGTTCTACGAAGACATTGAATCTGTAAAAGAAAATGCGAAGGAGCGTAACAACACGTTAAATAAAGAAACTGAAATCAGTTCACTCAGTAAAGGCGTAGAAAGCAATCCTTTCATCGTAGACAAAGTTTCAGTAGCTGGATTTGTTGGAAAGAATCCTTTTTACGAAGACGTTGAGCTGCTGAAAGACACGAACGAATTTAAAGAATCTCTACCCTTTCCTAACCTTGACGGGGCGATGTGTGCCATGGGCTCGCTCTCAGAGCTCCAGGACAATTCTACGGTCACACGGCCTAAGCGTCGAGCCCCCAAGCCACCTCCTACTCTACACACAGACACACATTCCTCCACAACAGAGTCATCAACTCACTCACAACCAACCAAACTTGTACCACCCAAGAGGCCACCCACCCCTATATTTCTCAAACAAACATTACCAACAATTGGAACTCAGGATACAGAAAACAAAAAAGTTATTGCCTCTGAAAACATCCAACAAATCCCAAGTGAAGCGGACATGACTGAGAAACCTCACAACTCATCTACTCAAGCTGTTGAGGCGTCAACCGAGGTTAGTGTCAAAGTACCGCCAACGGTTGGCGATGAAGAGGCAATCAGTGTTCCAAAGAAATGTGAAGTCATTACTGCTGTTAGCGCCAATGAGGCAAGCCAACATGTGTCTCTGGGTGTAGTGGGTAAAGTCAAAGCAGACTCTTTGACACTACCTTCTGAACAAAGTGACTTCGACAAAGTGACAGAGCAAACTTCTGAGCAAAGTTCTGAGCAACACGTAGAAAATCATCCTGTACATCACGTTAATAAATGTGCCGAAGAACGCTCTAGCGATAGCATATTGAGAGACTCATCCAATCCTCATGTCTACAAAGACGACCTCCAAGCCAACAAGACGGAAGAAGCTATACCCAGTGTCACTAAAGCAACCCATCAAAGAGTCTCTCTCCAGCACCCAAAGATTCCACCGCCACCGCCACCACCACCACCACCACCACCACCTAAGGTAGCAGGTTTTGGCGTGAGCACAGAAACACCCAAAGAGCCTACAATAGATCGGTCTTCACCACCACCACTGCTCCCACCTAAGGTTTCTCTGTCTCTCTTGGACGATATTCCTTACATGGACGCTGGAGAAGTGAAATATGCCAAGACCAAACACACGCCCACAACCCCGCAGTCACCCCAGTATGAAATCCCAGAAGCTCCCACGCTCTCCCCGGCGACCATGCGGCAGTCCTTACTATTAAGAGGAGCATGTAATGTCCCGTTTATAGATGAGTCTGATCTCCCTCCCGACAGTCCTCCTCCACCCCCACCTTGTCCTCCACCTGAGTCCCCACCGGAGACTTCGCACACCTCTCCACCAGAGACACCTCACACTTCTCCGCCAGAAACACCTCACACTTCCCCTCCTCACACGCCTCATACATCCCCACGATCCTCACCCATCACCATCAAGCCATCTACTGTCATCACGCAGTCCGTCCACACTGCTGACGCTCGTAAAATTGACAATAGTATAGAAGATACTACAGATAAAGCACCACCGATGCCGCCTAAAACATCCCAACTTGCTCCATCGGCGCCGACAAAAGATCCTCACTCAGCATCACCTGTGACGCAGTTACCAGCGTCAACACAGCCGGTCGCTGTACAATTTCCACCGTCCATATCCCCTGAGATTTCCCAATCCCCACCATTACTGCCGCCCAAGACCACAGTTCAGGCAACGTTACTAGCGCCGTCAGAGACTTCGGCATCAGTCACCCATGAACTGGCTTCAAAGAAACACTCAATACAGAGATCGACATCGGACGACAGATACGAAATCCCCGACACGTCCCGCGCCCCTCCCACACGACCACCTCCACCGACGGCGCAGAGCACGAAGGTACCCAAGCCTTACACCGCAGCTTCAGAAGTTGACAGGTACGAGGTTCCTGAAGCCCCCAAGGAAAATAAGGTGCTAAAGAGAGCGGAAACCGAAGAGAGATATGAGATCCCAGAGATGGTGAAGGAGACGGCTCTGCCTACTGGACCTAACGGCATGGTAAGTGTTTGTGTTGAGCGATGCTCTTTACCTTAATGATTTATATGCTTGCAAGTGATGAGTGAAATCACTTTTTGGGGGCGCATATATATATAAAATATTTTAACAGTTATTATTAGTGTTTCAGCTTTTTTACTTATGTTTGTAGACTTTTTTTTTAGATTAATGCTAGGCTTGGGTGTAGTATAGTAATCCTTTTTGACTCTTAGCTCAAGATATGAGTCAGTGCCAGATTTTCATGAAAATGGAAGTCACTGTTTCGGCTCAACATCCCCAACACAATTTTTACCCATTACTCAAGTTTTCCTTATATTTCTTATTTTTCCTTTTCACAAGAGCTTCGTTGAACTATTCTCATCCCATTCCAAACCTGCTAAGACGGAATTCTCTACATAATAACCGTATTTGATTTTGTGTAGAGTGGAATTCGGCCTGAGAGCAAGTGCTTGACCCAGTAGTTACTCAGTATCAAGACGCGCGCTTAATACAGACACGATAACGAGCGGTGGACAGCGGGTCAGAATTATTTACCTCGTTTTTACGCTACATATGAGCGTCTGGGTTAAGCCTCCTCTGTCTTCCCTCTCTCATGTTGAAGAGGATGAACAATAAGTCTAATGCAGCTGTTGAAAGCTCTGCTGCCTGACGTTATTATAACAAAAAGATTTTCAGTGGACGATAGTATTAGGTAACCATGGTAGATTTCATTGACCTGGGCTCTAGGAGACTCGAACCGTGGACCCCAAGCGTGTGAAGCCGAAGCTCAACCGAGGTACTGAGTAGTCTTATTGGTGGATCATTCCACTCCCAGTGTGCTATGTATATTATCCTGCTGAAAGTTTGTGGTGTATGTTGATGTGTGGTGTACTTACGGTATTTACTCTCCAGTATGTAGCACAGTAGTTAGTGCAACCAGCTTACAACCAACAGAACCCGAATTCGATCCCAAGGCAAAGGCATCTAACTCTCAGGTACCTATTTTAAAACCCGAATGTTTCGCTCTGCCCAGATAGTGAACTCAGACCCAATATGTTACCAGAGTCAACTATACCAATCACTGTGTGTGGGGAAAATCCCTGCCTCATGTATCGAGCCCGTCGAATGCCAGGCCTGGTACCCGGTGTCGTGATTCCAGCCCCTAGTATTAAGGAGTCTCCACGACCAGACGTTGTCCACACCATGCACCTGGTCACACTAGGCTCGCGCCCAAGGTAACTTCTCTTGTCCAGCGCCAACACTGCCTAGATTGTTGTGTTATTGTTTCGTGATTATTCGGCGACTTGGTTGCTGTTGGGCTTATCAACCACTGGAGTATTATTAAGGCCACCACAATAGCTTACTTAGTGTATATACACCCATAAATCGGATACACCGACTCCCGTGCTAAGTTCATTTAACTGGGTAGTTATATACATTTAAGCAAAAATCACAAAAATCGAAATACATATGTAGTACACTTGGCTTCGTTATCGACAATATTCGAGAATCCCGGGTTTGGTTCCTGGGTGGGACAGAAATGGTTGAGCACGTTTCCTTTCACCTAATGGCTCTCTTCACTAAACAGTAAACATGCTAAACATAAACTCCCTCCATACATTCTCTTGTGTCATTTACATTTACAAAACCCTGTTCATAAATGCAAATCCTGTTCTGAAACTCTCTCTGGACCGATGTAATAGAACCCATAATCACCACACCAGAAATAAATATATCTTTGACATCCCCAGAGTCAAACTTAATCTGTGTAAACACTATGCAAATAAAGAAACCTAGGCTATGGAACTCACTCACTAACGAATTGAAAAGCTGTCCAATTTTTGCCTTATTCAACAATAAAAGCAAAAAGTACCTAGTTTAATCTTCATAGGTTCCTAATTAGTACTTTAAACTCGCATTGTATCTTGTGCTACTCAATCCCCCATTATATGTACCTAAGCCATACAACCTAAGCCATTGTAATCATTGTTATCATCTTATGTCATGGTTGATATTGAACGCATTTGTTACTGCATTATATCTTTAAATAATCCTCAAATTATCCTACAATGCACCTAGTGATAACCCTCAAATTTTACTTTAATGTACCTACTAATCTTTGTCAAATTTTCTTACAATGTACCTGTAAACATTTCCTCAATTTTGCTAGAAATTACCTACTGAAAATTATCTGTTAGATTAAGGACCAGCCCGAAATGCTATGCGTGCTAGTGGTTTTACAAGAATGTAAAAATCAATGCTATGTACTCTCATAAACCCACTGTACCTTCTTGTATATAAATAAATAAATAAATAAATAAGTAAACAGGTACCTGGGTTAGTCAACTGTTGTGGCGTTGGGGGGGGGGGGGTAGAAATAGCCTAAGCTACTCTATCCCTTTGATATGTATTTCTTTCTTGTCTCAATAAACATACTTGAACTTGAACTTGTGGCGTTGAATCCTGGGTAGGGTCAGCAGTTCGACCTTGGGGAAGAGTTCGATAAAAAAGTTTAAATACACAGGTTTCCTATCCCCGACAAAAAAATAGGATTATTCATGTGCATAATCATATATTTTTCAATAGAACAAACGGTGGACAGGTATAGTTACGACACTACAAGTTCATACACCACAAAAGCTCATGCCTCACGCTTGCATGGAACTGGTTCACCTTGAAAGCATACCAGAAGTTTACATAACAAGCATGCCACTAACTTGAATATCCAAGCTTGCATTGCCAGCATACCTCAAGCTCATGTCACATGCATAGGTCTCAAAGACGTCACAAGGCCACAAGAAAACGTCAAATGCTCACACTACAAGCTCAAATATCAAGAGTATACGCTAAGCAGTACACAATTTTAATCCACAAGTATACCACATGGTCAGGTCACAAGCATAACACAAGGTCAGGTCACAAGCATACCACAATGTCACGTCATAGGCATGTCATAAAGATGCTACGAGATTGCACCAGAGAAATCCCCCTTGCCATAGAAGAATTGTCTGGCGCCGTGGGCTCCACGAGACCTGCGCGTGACGCTTGTGTCTCTCTCTCTCTCCCCACAGACATTTGCCCCGGCCAAACCCTCTTGCATCCTCCTCTGAGTCCCATGCAGCGTAAGTCATTTTGCTTGCCTTTCCCTACGTTATTAATGCTTCTCTTGCTTCCCTCTTACCTTGCTTATGTGTTCCCGCCTCCTGCCTGTCGCTTGTTGACAATCCACCGTTTTCTTTCATGTTTTCTCCTCTACTCGTGTCTGCTTGATTTGCTACGTAGTTTATTTTTTTGCGCATGTCTTTGCTTGATTTGTTCTAAGTATAATTTCTATGACCTATGTGTTTACTATTTTTTCATTTACCTATCTTCAACAATTACTCAATTGCATCATGGTGCATATATATCATTTTTTTCTGGTGGATATTGTGATTGACTTCACTAATGTTTTCGATGGCTAAGGAATATATATATACACCGAGAGGACAAAACAGTATACTAGCTGGTTGGTCAGTAAGCTAGTGTGCTGGTCTTAATAACTTTCACTCACATCATAACTTGGCCATTATTTTCGACATGGTTTCCAAGTGGTGGTGGTTTCTTATCGTGAACAGTAGTTATTTTCTTCCTCTAGTAGTTCCTATTCTTGAAGCTCTAATTTACGTGCTTGTGTAGTTGCCATATTCTTTCTTGAGTAGTTCTTAATTTGTTAATAGTATCAACATCTTTTCTTTTAGCTTTGCATTTGGTCCATTTTGCGTGGAATTTTCGTGCGAGAGAAAAAGTGTGTGTGTGTGTGTGTGTAACTACGCTAAAGGACAGTGTAGTTACAGGATGTGTGTATGAGAATATGTTTTTATGTAAAATAATTATTTTCTACATTTTGGTGATATATCATGATTGATGGAGTTAAGCAACTTCATATTCGCCTTAGAAACCTCAACGATCTCAGCCTTATCAGTAAAGTGAATAATCAGCACATTCAGTCACAAGAGAAGTGGCTTGCACCAGTCACAACAGGAATGACTTGTTAGTGTAACAAGCCACTCCACAGAACTGGAGCAGAACTAGCTAGAACCCGAACAGTCACAAGGACAGTAAGGAGCAAGTCAGCACCTTTATACAGTCATAGACAAGATATACAGGACAGTTACAAATTAAGTTGCTCTAGTAATGACATTCAGCAAGTGGTCTAGCGAGTCAGGAAGTAAGAGCACCAAATCACTTATTCTGGTATAAGCGTAATCTTCATTGTTTAGTAAATAATATTTCCTCAAGTGCTTATGTGCTGAGGCCAGCATGGCCAAGCCTTGCAAGTGCTGGGTGTGTTTATACATGAGGCACTCGCTAAGTTTTCTCATTCAGTACAGTCAGTGTCAGTTTATAGTCCGCTCCTGCCTACCTCCAAACAATTTTCTATAACTTATAGTATCATCATCATTAATCAGCTGAAGATCGCAACCCGTCCTCCTAATAGCAATTCGCATTTTGACGTATATTTTACCTAAGGCCAAAAACTGTCGTCCTAGAAAATGGTAGCGGCTCGCGAAATTGACATAATGTCCCGCTTTTCTGTTCGTGGGTCCTTTGGTAGGTTAGGATAAGGCACTTTAGTTGAGTGCCCTTTTAATGCACTTTTAGTTTAGTCAAGACAGTTTCTTGACGTTGGGAATCCACGCGAGAACGGGTTGTAAAATCATTGATTATTTATGGGATCCTGTGATGGCATATCGTACATGAAATAATCAGTTAATTGCATAGGCTACATAGCCAAATAAAGTTAAAAGATTTAAACAAACTTTAATGGATTGTTCAGATTACGCTGATATGGAATAAAATCACAACTTTAATTATTATTAAAGTTAAATATCACTGATATTACAAAGACACATCAAGCACATCTTTTCATCAGGATCATGTATTATAATCTGATGCTCAGGGCCGCCTTGATCCCCATAGCAACACCAACTGACACATGATTATTCACAGCTCATCCTCCTGCAATGTTACGGCTTATAGCAGCT